GCTAGACATTATTCTAGCAGAGGGTAAGATTATTCTAAACACATTGGAAACTTTTTTTAAATTAGATTGTAAACTTTTACTAACATGTAATATTAGTACTATTTGTAGGATTGCCTAGGAATGAGAGCACAGAAGGTTCAGAAGAACCACATGATCATGTGGGTTTTAGTTGTTCTAGTGGTTTCCTTGTCGCTGCTGTTAGTAGTGGTAGTTGCAGGGCTGGCCTGCTAGTGAAGGAAGCATAGCAAACCTGGTATCGAAAACAAGGTAGGAGGCTCGAGCCCCCAACCCACCACTAGATTATATAATCATAGGTTAATATGAAATAGATACTCTTGTTTCTTACATAACTCACTAGTAGGTGTCGTCGAGCTCTGCCTCTGCAATCTCTTCTTCTTCCACCATAGTAACGACAACGATACGGTCAAAACTATCATCATAGCCAAAAACTCGTTTCTAGTGCTGTTTAGAACTTGATTCATGCTTTCTTGCTGGTAGTCACGATGTTAATTAAAGGGGGACTGTGTTATGTAATGAAATTTCTATGAGAAATGTGGATGCCCAGCTTCAAATTGAACCATGGACACCAAATCTGGGAGCAAAAGTGATGTTACAACAGGCTTGGTTCAGAGTTAAGGATAACCTCCATGGTTGTTGACATTATTTTGGATAAAGTATAGATTATCAGGCTTATGTTTTATTATCCTCTTGAGGTTCCACCATTGGCTCCTACTACATCTCACATCAAGCTCTACCGTCGATTTTTGAGCACTATGGTGCCAGCTATGCCATCTCAGTAATAAAGACTACATTCTAGGACACAGCGTCATTATTTTTAATAAAATAAAAGGAGAGTTTTGAATAAAAGGTATATTAAGCATAAGAGCTTAACTTAATTTCAAGATAAAAGTTTAAAAGTCAAAATTTAGATTCATAATATTATAAGACATGGGTTGCAACCGCCACCACCATATCTTAAGATTAGGTTCCAACTAAACATATATTCGTCCCAAATGGAGGTATCATGCATCTCAAAGGTTGAAAAAACTATGGATATAGATGGAAAAAATATATATAGAGTAATTGATAAGTCTACCACATCTGGATAGATATTACAGAGTATGTAAGTTGTGTTAGAAAATGAACAAAGAGAGTGCAAGGACAAGTAATGTTTTTCATTATGTGTTTTTAATCATATTTTCAAATTAAGATTCTCTATCCCGTGCTGAATTGATGGACAAGTAAATTTCAGTCAAATAGAATCCTATCATCCATACTATCACCTGCACTCCCTTTACACATGCGCAGCCCACCAAAAATCGTTGAACCATTTGGCTGCTTGCCCAGTTGATTGGATATTCCGCGGATAGCACAAACTGGCTGCTGGATCTGTTTAGACCGGGATTAGTACGACTGTACGAGAGACTTTGAGTCTTTGATGATCTTCCTGTTGTGCTCTACTATGGCTCGTTTCTTTTTCTTCAATGGAGGGCGCATGACTGGGTCGTGTGCGATCGTGTACGCTTGACGTCTCCATGTGCCTTGCTCGCCGTGACGCCGTGTCATCAGCATGCAACGGCGACCTCTTTGTCCATTTCGGACAGAACGAACTGATGGTCGCCGTATCAGGATCGTCGGCCATCCAGTTCCAATCCAGGAAAAAGCTGGGACCGCACCGGGCGAACGAATTGACGGTGACTTATACGAGCCAGCTCAAATCATACTATTTGATTTAAATGAAAAACGAGAAAAGCGAACTCTTTTTTTTTTTAGAAAACCGGAGGGGCGTGCCCCTACTGTAATTAAATTAATTGCTGCAAAGCGCAAAACAAAGAATAGTTACAGAGAAGAGGTACATCAAGAGCTAACTTGGAACATACGTAACGTCGTGTGGGATTATTGATGTTATAAGCTATGTACTAAAAGTTAATATTAATGGAGAAGTTGTCTTAAGTGAGTAACTAGCCCATACTATTGGTACTGTTGAGGATAATTGAAACTGAAAAACGATCTCGCCTTATTTACATGGAATATTTGTACCGATACATGGAATATTTACACAGAAATGGTCCATCCAAATGTTGGCCGAGTCCCATGATGGCCCGACGGCTCGACTCTGAACTGACCAGGGGGAATCAGCACCTCATCCACGATTAGCCGTTTACTTCTCCGGCATGTCAAGATGTCATGTGCACATAGTCACGCTTGCAGCCACGTCAACGTGCGCCACGGCCACAACCGGGGGGCGGCGGCACGTCGTGGCTGTGTGCACATCACATAGACGCATCACCGAACAGAGAGTACTGCAAGAGAGCATCTGCAGTGGCGCCCAAGCAAACTCAGCCGAGATGCATATGTTCAACCACGGCACCTCCCCGGCCTAGCTAGCGCGCAAATTTGACCGACCAAGTTCCCGCAATGAGAGAGAAACTCCGATCGATCCCTGACTGCCTCACGAACGTCTGGAGAAATTTCCCGTCCTTGGCTGGATTTCGACCGGGCGAGAGCGAGGGAGACGTCAAACTTGTCATCTGATTGATTAATCGCACTATTTCTTGCCACGTGCTGGTCTGCGGTTCATGCATGCGGCATGCCCGTTTCAACACAGCTTGAAGGCTATGAGGCGGACGCCCCTATAAAAATGGCCACATCCGTATCGGTATCACAACCTCTCGACACTCGGTGGAATGGAACACACGCACCACAGAGAAGAGATGACCACCGTACCAGCCCTGGTGGGGCTGTCTCGCTCCACAGCATGCCAACAACTCCGGCTTCGATCCGCAGGGGATGACTCGACCGCCTGCCTAACCTACTACCTACAAGGAGTTCAGGTCATATAGATTCTCGTGGAAAAGGGAAGGTGCGTGGACCTGATCATCTGGTCCACTCGATCCAGGGCTCAATCCAAGATAAAAAGGAGGGTACTTCTATATATATGTACGCAGCAAGCTTTAAGGAAACTTTCGAGACACGGCAGGTGCGCGCAAGCTATTTCTCTTAAATCTATTCCAAGCTCTTCGTTTTTTTTTGGTATCCTTCCTTTTCTTATCCAAGCAAGGGTGATGTAATTAAGATTCTATTTTACAACATCTTTAAAGCTCGATTTGGTCAGATATATATGCATGGAGCTTTATTTAACACACAGGCTTGGATGAAATGAGAATTCCTTTTCCGATTGGGATAATGGCTTTGCGTCTCATATATATCAGGCGTCTGATTTTTTTTCGTCGTTGTTCAGTTAACTTTTAAATTTGTTACTGTTAGACTATAGAAAATATTGAGAGTTATATCTTGCGTAAGATTGTTATCAGCAAATTCCTAAAAATTCAGAAACCTGATATATAACAATTCCTTTTTTCTATATGAGATCAACAAGAATTCAATTTGGCCTCTACATCTTTGTTTTGTGTGCATATAGAATGGCACCAGATGGTGTAGCAAATTCAACCAAGTGGTCAAGTGGGTACGACGACGACGAACAACTGACGAGTCGTCGCCCTAAAAATCAAACTTTACACACGAAAGGCCCTCCCCAAGAAATGTTGGCAGCAGCCTGGCACAAAGTTGCAATAGTTTAGTGCCCCAGAGGCCATCATGTGAAACTAAACTCCCCATTTTGTACAGCAGAAAGCATAAACAATTTCTCAAATTCACAACCAGACGTCCAAACCCATCCTTCGTTAATAAAGGTTCCTTGCTCATTAAGGTTTGTCTTATGTCCTCGAGTTATTTGGAGATAATTTTGAGGTGAATTAGGACGACGTCCAAGTTCGTTGTATACCGCGCGACCGGCCGTGCCATGTCAGTGCATCGTTGAACGGTGAACCGAGCTGGGGTGTGGCCATGGAATTGGAGCAGCAGCCAATGGGCCACTTCGCTTGTACCGTTTGCCTTTGATTTTTCGTCTTTGGTTGAAAAGCAAGGACCCTTCCTTTCGTCCTCTACAGACTCCACTGGAGTTTTAATAATGCATTATATTATATATTCCTCTGCCTCTGGCTGTTTATGCTGGCGTGGCGCGCGCCGCTCATCTTTGACCATTCAAAAGTGACAAAAATACTGTGTGATTTGGGAGACGAAATAAAATCCGTCCCTAATGTATCTACATACCCAAAATTCAGATGAAGAAACGTAGACCCAAAGCAATGCAAATGCAGACCATGCCCCGTAGTAACTCAATTGAGGTGCTGTGGTGGTGAAAAGAATTTTGCTACTTCGTGAATCATACAGAACCAGTATTTGCTTATGATTACAGAAAATTGGTCTCAATATATGTACAGGTACAGCTATAGTGGTCTCCAACCTATGTACATACAGCTGCAGCAGTCTACAAACCCAGGCGCAAACAAGGCATTTAGCCAAAAGAAGAAGAAACTGATTTAATTTGATGAGTGGAATGGTGACATTTTGTGCATGGCGAATACACAGGTACTGGACTGCCAATGAGCAGCGGCGATCGACGACGATCAAGCATCAAGCCCATAATGAGTGATTCACTAGTAGGAGTAGTGCCTCATAACCTTACAGCAAAGCTACAATTAGTCCCTCTGTTCTGCTCTTCTACTTTTCAGCTGGCTTATGCTTATTTCAACTTATTCTCCTTTACGGAAACTCTATTGAATCAGCCGAAATACCACTGGCCGAAATCTAACCAGCAAGCTCACGCCGGAGTCTTCGATTTCTTCATCTGGCCAGGCAGGCAGGACTGCAGGACAGCACGGTCTTGTAATCTTGGCACATGGCACGCCACCTCCGTTGTTCCGTTTGACTGCAAGTTGTGCCGGTCTCGGTCTCGCCGACGGGAACCTGGGAAGGCCCGTGCGGCGGGTCCACTTGCAGCGGCACATCGAAGACTCCGGCGTGAGCTTGTTAGTTAGATTCTGGTCAGGCATCAGGATCTACTGAGAAGCAGAGCAGAGCGGAGAAATGGTCAGGGCAGCACAGCAAATCGCCAAATCCAGAACGATATATATCCTTCTGGAAGGAGGACCTCACGGTCACGGCGGCGAGCCGCCGGTGAGGAACCAGAAGGCGATGAGGGCCACGGCGAGCAGAGCAAGCACGGCCGACACCACGGTGCAGGCGAAGCAAGCGAGCCTCCTTGCCGCCCCGGGAGCCGGCGGCACGGCCGGCGCCGCCTGGAGCTGCAGGAGGAGGATGCCCATGAGGTACGCGAGCGGGAGGGTGGGGATGAGCACGGCGACGGCGAACTCGAGGACGGGGCTGAGCGGCTTGTTGGCCCCGTCGTCCAGGAAGTCGAGCAGCGGCTTCAGGATGTTGGAGATGCCCAGCGCCACGCAGAGCGCGAACTGGGGGGCGGCGTTGAGGTCGGCCATCGCCGTCGCCAGCTGCTTCCTCCTCCTACGAAACAGGCGGTGAGAGGAGAGGCGTCGGCTGCTCGCCTCGACCGGGAGGAGGAAGAGGCCGAGATTTTGGAAAAGGAAAAGTCGGGCGAGGAGAGATCGGAGCAGAGAAGACGGTGAGTGAGCTTACCTCGAGGCTCGAGAACAAGAAGCTTTAACCGCTTGTGCTGCCGTTGTTTGAGATCGGGGTAGCAGTACTACCAGGTGCCTGCCTAGCAGTAGGAGGAGGCCGGCGAGCGAGAACCGAGAAGATGCGAATTGCTGAAGTCGGCCGCCATGATATAGCCCCCAATTGTTACTTTTTACTCCTTGTTATCGTTATTACGGCGTGTGTGTCCGAATTACCGCTAGGCCTGGGCCGTGGGCCCTGCCGCCGGCGGCCGGCGCCAGGTCAAGGACTCAAGCCAAATTTTCATCAGAAAAAAAGGACTCAAGCCAAAACAGTGGAGGATCTGGAACACATATGGCGAACTTTTAATACGTACTATTTATATCCCGTGATTTGTATAACGTAAAATTACATAGCAACTTCATATAACATAATAATGTGGTGACATAAATATTAACACCTCCTTTGGAACAAAAGTATTTTACAGGGAAGACAGAGAAAACCAAAACGGAGGAAAGGAAGAAGGTTAGAGCATCTGGAACGAAGCATACGCAGTTACCCTTTCCTTAGAACACTGTAGCAACGACACGGTTTCACAGGAAAGAAGGTGATTCAATTTTTATCTACGATAGGACTCAACAGAGGTGTGCTATTATAACTACTAGTTCTATCAGGGCATCCGCAGCAGTAAGATCTAGTTGCTGGCTTTAAGCCAACATCTTCAATAGTGTTAACTTTTAGCAATGACTCTTAGTATGATTAGGCCCACGTAACACTCATATGATCTTGGAATATGTGTAAGAACCCAACTCTTGATTAAGAGCCAGCTTTTCTCTCTCTTCTATTAAAATATAAAAAAAAATATTTAGAGCTAGCTCAAAAGTCGATTGTTGGAGCTGCCCTTAGGATTTGGGTGTAGAATCCTACTAGGACTAGGACTCCTATTTACATATATAGGGCCCTTAGAGGAGACTATATATACACGGGTTTCTTTATATATAAGCCATAGGCATCAACTAAGCTAACACAAGAGTCTCATCCAAGACTTGTAACGAGCAATTAGGAGCGCTCAAGAGAATTAGGCTAGATAGTTCTATTCCACTAGATTCTTGTATAGGGCAAGAAATCAATGGGTGCTAGAGGGTCAAGTAGGGTTGTGAGAGACCGACAATCACTTGTACACTTTTGGAGTTGTGCTAATAAAATTTGTGGTCGGCTTCGCCATAATCACTTGTCGTGGTTGCTTCAACATCGTCATCTAGGGTTCTCTACGTGATTCGGCTATATCGTTCTTGATACAATGCAAGCTTGTGTCATACTCAAGACATTCTTTCAAAGATCAGAGGGTTGCTGTGTATAACTAGGGATATCAGATTCTAACAAGTGGTATCAGAGCCAATGTTGGATTAATTTAATTTTGTGAGAAGGTTGACAGGGCTATGCAACACGAAATTGAGACGATGTCGAGGATGTGGAATCAAGTAGAGAAATTTGATGGCAAAGGAAATTTCAGCATGTGGCAATGCGTGGTAACAAATGTGTGCTTGTCAAGAAAACTGATGAAGAATGGAAGGTGATGGAGCAGAAGGATGTTAGTATAATTCGAAGGTGGAGTACTTGGTAATCTAGGAGAATTCATCATATAAATTAAGGAAGATCTTAGAAGAGTTGTATATGGCAAAGTCGCTGACAAATCAGTCGGTACTAAAGCGTCAACTATTCAGGTTACGCATAGAGGAAGAGGTACACGATTTATCGACCATCTAAATGTCTTCAACAAGCGTCAACTATTAAATATTTCTTGATATAAATATTGAGTAAGAAATGTGTTGTGTTGCTAGGGGGCATGGCCTCTGCCCTGCTCACAAACGCTCTGGACTGCTTGGTTTCTTCGCCAGTTACTATTTTGCCTCGTTGAGTAAGGATATGATCGAAACAAACTTGTTTATATACTTACCTAGCTATCTTGTGCCTTGGTAAACAACCTTTGTCTTGCTAGCCTAAGAGTCAAATTGGCTCTCATGTCTGGGAAAACTTCTCGTGCTCCGTGTCAACCAGACTAGGCAGGTTGTTTGGAGAAACCAAGGACCTCCTCTATCACACTGTCACAATGTCAGCCACACATATGGCTCCACCTCAAATACGACAAGTTCTTCTCTTCTTTCTATCTTTGGTCTTGACTATCCCCATAACACAATGTGTTGACTTCTGTGCACTCCTTTTTTTAAAAGTTTGTGGACATATTTATAAGGCTAGTCTCATGAAAATTTTATGGAGATTAAATAGGCAATAAACTTAGCAAATATGAGACATTGCACCATATAAATAAAGAGAGATAGGTGATCAAAATTTCATGAAGTAAAATGAGTTTCATAGGGATAAAACTGGTTTACATTGCTTCCAACACATGGGAAGTCACCCTCACTGAGATAGTAAGAGAGTCGATGTATTTCATGTGTCTGGATTTTTAGCCTACAATCTGAGACAACCAATTAATATCATAATTTTATAATTAAACAATAACAAAATTACATATTTTCCAAATTACAACGAAAACTTAAACACCTAGGAAATATAGAAGTGGTGAGATGACGGAGACTCCAAGAGAACCAAGTCTGTTATGGTAAGGACTAATGGGCTTGGTTTCACAGTGAATTGCAGCTTATTTCTATATAGTATAAACACCCTAAATACATATATAGACCTAATAAAATTTTGTCATGACGACACATATATGCCACACATCAATTTTTGGTGCAATAAGACTTGTTTGGATGTATTTGTGTTCAACTCAATCTACATGTATTGGGAGGGTTAGATGAAAGATTAAATAATTTTCACTACACTATAATACGTGTAGATTGAGGTGGATGTGAGTGTCGCCGAACAAGTGTTTTAAGAGTCATCGAAAAAACTACTACAAATATATATTATCTAATAAAAAAGGAATTTCGTTATACTATGCCATGTTCGCTTTAACTTATCTGCCTGACTTACCAGCCATGGTATAGTGTTTCTCTCTCACGATAAATCAGCGAACACAACCTGGCTTTTCAGCGAAACGAACCGAATAAATAAATGCTATCTGAGATGTCAAAACATTCTTTCTTCTTCTTTTAAGCCCATGATATGACAATGCACATTTAGAACTTTCATCAACCTGAAAGCATCATCGATCGGCCCAGCTAGCGTGTGGCGGCCGAAATGAACCACGTCGCTGTGGGCCCAGCTTTCAGTAAAGCACCCCGAAAACGCAACTGATTTTCCGCCGGACCAGCGTCGAGGAAGCAGGCGATTTGAAATTTCCAGTCCCCCCTGCCTTCTCTTCTCCGTTCACGGCTCACCACGCGTGCGTGCGCGCTCTCCCTCTCGCCCGACGATGTCTGGGCGCCCGCCGCCGCCACACGCCAGGTCTCCGGCCCGTCGACAGGCCTTCGCGGGCGACGAGCACCCAACACCAGGTAAGCGTACTCTCTCTCCTCAGTCGTCCCCCCCCCTCTTCCTGCCGTGCCCAGCCGCCCAGCACCCGAAACCTAGCTTAATTCATCTGGCGATCTGTGTTCGGATCTGATCGAATCACACAATCGTATACATGCATTAGCTCTGCTGGGTCCTCCGCCCCTGGTCGACGCGAGCGCAGGCCGCGGAGTGTGCATGATGAGCACCTCGTGGAGAGACAAGCAGCACCCGGACCTCGTCAATTTCATCGCTGCATTCCTCGCTACCAACCTGTACCGCCTCAATTTCCTGTCGCTTTCTCCGGTACGCGCTCCAATCCAGAGAAGCCACTGGTTTTGGTGTGTAACTGTGCATACGCATGGCTTTGATTGGGTTGGCTTGGCTTGGCTTGGGTTCCAGGACTTCCTCTTCAACAATGGGGGCTTATCGGTTGCTTTCATCTTCGAGACGGACTGGCTTCCTGAAAGGGAAGCTGCTGTCTTCAGCAGGTCACAATCTTCCCTGTTTTATGTTTGTTGTTATGCACTGATGACTGCATGCGTGGTGATGGTAATGGTGATGTACTGATGTCGTACTTGGAATGCTTTTGCAGGGTGAGTACACTGAAGAAGCAGTTCAAGTATCTCTACGTCGTTGTTGTCGTCCGCTCAGCAGAGCAGAATGAATCATTCAATCAGTCATATTTCAAGTATGGGCCGACATACTGTGACACTAAGTTGTACATAGCAAGCATTTGTTCTAGTTTGGTTGGGTTGGGGTGTTCTTACTCCTGCTGTCCTCATTCAAGGTATGGCATGGAGCTTGGCTGCCCTACGTTCGTGCCTGTTTGTGATCCAGAGATGGGATTCGAGAAGATTGTAAGGATAGCTCATGCTCGTGGAGGTAAAACCTCTTTGCTTCATTTACCGATTTCCTGACTCATGTTCAAGTTCTGAACTGCGAGCTGGCACTGATCGCGTGTCTGTTTTCTTCAGTGTGCAGGCAGAAAAACATCGTCACAGCTATGAGAATTGAGGTATGTTCTGTTCCCAGATGCATGCTCATATACTAGCAACGGGTCATGTTGTTGCTAAATGATTCTCTTGCTTGTCTCCGTAGCGTGAGCAAGCTGTTCAGTGCATGGATGCGTTTTTACGAGTGCTCACCTCTATTCCTGGTATTGACACTCATGATGCAAATGCGGTGAGTTGCTCAACTTGTTTTTGCAGCTTGTGTAATTTTGTGATCTCTTGGTTACATGGATATCAATGCTAGCTTGTTTGTTCTGACTGCTTTGCAAGTTCTGTCTCTAGGGAGGACACGCATGTTATTTGCAGGCGTTGTTTTCCGATATGGGTATCATCATTTTCCTTGTCATCTGCACACATTTCTCTGGAGATTGAGAAGAATTAACCACAGTACCTTT